ACGATGCTCGAAAGGAGATTGAAAGCTTGATTATCGAGGGTTACTTGATTCTAAATAAACATTTTCTTCTGCTGGGAAAGTTTCTTTGGATTCGCGTTATCGATTGATTTTGTTCGTATCTTACTTTATTGATCGAACGGTAGCGAGACGAAGAAATCGTAGAGTCTATTGGACGTAACACCTAAAAAAATTTGAATTTTCATCAGAAACTTGATAATATCACTTGATAATATCAATATAGAAAAGACAGTATAGAAAAAATGGAAATATTATTAAGCGACACAGATACTTATACTAACTTAAAGCGCAATCCGATTAACAAAGTTAGATGATTTAAAAACATTACTTAAGACATGGAAGCAGGAGGAATTTGAGACAGAACGGAATTATAATTTTCTTAACACATTTAATGCAATAACACCGAAAACATATGGATGTACTGAAATCCACAAATCAGGTAACCCATTATGTATTATTGTGTCCTCGATAGGTAGTCCTTTGCACAATTTAGCAGTTTTTCTACATAAGATCTTAGATACATACAAGGAAGAACCGATAGGACATGTAAAAAATAGTTTTCAATTAGCATTGAAGTTAACACAATTAAATTTATCGAACGACTCCGTTCTTGTTTCACTTGATGTTGTATCCTTTTTTACTAATGTACCAGTAGATCTCAGAAGTCATAGAGAGTCTAGTCATAGAGAGCGTAGAAAGAAGGTGGTGCAACATTAAAAACAACTTTAACATCCCGAAAAAAGAATTTATTAAAGCAATTACGTTAGTGCTCGGTTCCACGTATTTCGTTTTCAACAATAAGTTCTACAAACAAACTTTTGGAGTACCTATGAGATCCCCTTTATTCCCTATAGCAGCAGATATGGTCATGCAGGATTTAGAATAGGCTTCACTCAACAAATTGCAATTTACTTTAAATTTTTATTATAGATATGTTGATGATATTGCACTAAATACTCAAAAACGGAATATTGATACATTATTGGACACATTCAATAAATTTCATCCTAGAATAAATTTTACAATTGAAAGGGGAGGTGATAAATTGAATTTCTTGGATCTGACATTAATAAAAAATGGTAATAAATTAATTTATGATTGGTACCATAAACCTACTTTTTCGGGTAAGTACTTAAACTTTTATTCATGCCACCCGTTGTGCTACAAAATAGGAACCATCATGAATTTAGTTGACAGGGTAATATCATTATCACATCCCATGTTTCACAGCAAAAATTTCAAATTCATTATTCACATATTATTAAGTAACGGATACCCGTCGAAGTTAATTTTTAAGAAAATTAAAAAAAGATTACTAATTAAATTCAAACAATCTGATAAATTAGCAATAGATATGAACAGGAAAGTTAATGGTGAATCTAAGGGAAGGTTTTTTCACTATACCTTATGTACCACACATATTTGATAATTTCAAAAGATTCTTTAAGGGCAATCAATTCATACGTTTGGCTTATATGGGAATTAATAAACTGAGTGCGTTCATCAAATGTCAAAAAGATAAATTATCAACTTTCTCACGATCTAATGTGGTGTACAAAATCAATTGTCAAAATTGTGATGCATCCTACATTGGACAAACGAAAAGATTGTTAAAGATCAGAATTCCCTAGTAGCACAGAACATTGGCTATACATTGGCTAAGATTGGCTAAACATTGGTTATATTGGGCATACATTGGCCAATATTTCCCAATGTAATGCCAATATTGGTTATACGATAAATGACAATGTATAGCCAATATTGCAAATCAATCATTATCCAATATTGGCTTTACATTGGGCATACATTGGCCAATATTTCCCAATGTAATGCCAATATTGGTTAAACATTAAATGCCAATGTAGAGCCAATATTGCATGTCCATCATTGCACAATATTGGTTATATAATGAATGCCAATGTACAGCCAATGTTGTAGGTCAGTCATTACTCAATATTGGCATTACATTCGGCATACATTGGCCAATATTTCCCAATGTAATGCCAATATTGGTTAAACGTTAAATGCCAATGTATAGCCAATATTGCATGTCCATCATTGCACAATATTGGTTATATAATGAATGCCAATGTACAACCAATGTTGTAGGTCAGTCATTACTCAATATTGGCATTACATTGGGGATATATTGGCCAAGATTTCCCAATGTAATGCCAATATTAACTATATAATAAATACTAATGTAGAGCCAATATTTCGTGTAAATCATTACCTAATATTGGGTTTACATTGGGCACACATCGAGGATAGATTGTTTATAACAGTACAATTAAGTAATACATTTATCAATCGAAGAAATGGTGTAGCACATAACGCAGAAGGCTCATAGTCCAGAGGTCCCAGGTTCGAATCCTACGTAGGTAACTAAATTTTCACATATGTGTAATATTGGCTATACATTATTTCCCAATATTAACGAAATATTAGAAAACAATATACAACCAATATTAAACATTGGGTAAGAATTGCACACCCAATATTGGTCCAATATTGTAAAGTAGACGCCTAGTCATATTTAGCCAATATTGGTTCAACAATATAAGATGAACATTGGTTCAACAATATTAGGCCAATATTGAGGATTCAATTTTTACCCAATATTAACTATACATTGTTTTTCCAATATTTCGCCAATACTATTGAATCAATATTGGACCAATATTAGAGATTCAATCTTTACAATATTGGCGAAATATTGGACAAACAATGTACAGCCAATTTAAAACGTTGGGTAAAAATTGTGTACCCAATATTGGTCCAATATTGTTGAACCAATATTGGTTAAATATGACTAGGCGTCTACCTTACAATATTGGACCAATATTGGGTGTGCAATTCTTAACCAATGTTTAATATTGGCTGTACATTGATTTCCCAATATTGCGCCAATGCTTTGTGCTACTAGGGTTAGTGAACATCGAAACTATATCAATAGAAACACAAAAACACAAATGGTTATTACACAGTATAGAATTGAACACAATCATTTTGATTGGAATAATATAATGATACTAGAAAAGAATTATAATAAAAGAATAATTTCAGAGGCTATTTTCATTAAAAAGCAAAAAAATGGATTAAATCTACAAAATGACACAGAGTTATTAAATCTCTATATTATGATGTAGTCACGAAAGACTGAATGTTTCTATGTTACAAATAGTATCTCGTGATTAAAATTAGGGGTATTTATTGAATTTAAAAACTTAGTGATTTTTCATTTATATGTTTGACTATAACTTTGTTTATCGGAATATCCTACATAAGTATTATTGCGAATTGACCTCTCACACAGTCTTAACACCTCGCGGAAGCAACAACATTTATGTAACAGACTATCATTAAACCGAATTCATGTAAGTTAAATTGATTTATGATAACTTTAATCTGACTTTATATTAATTACCTTTATTTAATTATTTTTAATGAATTAGTTCTAAATTATGCTTGTTCTATTCCGTAAAATACAACAGACGTTCCAGAAGAATTCAAACATTGACAATAGTTTAGCGAAGATCTGATGACTCGAATATTATAGAACTCAATTTTTCATTATTATTGAATGCTGTCATCTTCATTTATTACACTGAAGAGGACCCAATACCAGGATTGAAACGTTCGTATTTTAATTTAATTGTAATATATGTAGGAATGTCAAGTGACTTCCAATTGAAAAGGGCGCGTTCTTGAGCGCTAGGGATTTGTCCCAGCGTTACCCTAAATTATTCCTTTCCCACTTCATCAGATGGCGCGACCCGCGTACGTTTTTGGCGCGAGCTCTGCGAGCGGAAGTTAACGAGGAGACAGATTGTACTAGACAACGAACCATGGAAGGTGCCGTTTCGTATCGCCATTAAATACTTTCTAATTACAAGAACGTTGTTTGTCGATTGCGGTATCCATCCTATACCCCTTTTCCCATATATATATATACATATACACACGAAGAACTTGTGTTGGTTCACATAGGTTTTTTCACTGTATCATCATTATCGATTAATTTAACTGTAGGAGCCTTTATTTATCGATTTAATATTCATTATATCTATATATTACTCTTTAGTACACACACGATAATTTTCTATTCTTCTATTATTTATACACAATGGGTCGTTCGTGTTTTAGGTTTCATCACTTTTACAAGTAGGTATACAAAAATTATTAAGTAATTCTTATATAATACTTTAGAAAGTATTTATAAAGTTTTGTATTTAAAAAAAGTAAAGGATAGAGACCATTATTTAGCCAGATCTGGTACTGTTCGCGCCTTACGTGCGCTCTCTTATTGGGTGATGTTCTATGCGCTGATCGCCCTATTTTTCTTCCGCGGATTATCGTCGCGCAGATGCGGGCGGTGTGTGTGTGGCGCGAGCGTAGCGTGTCCGGCGCAGTTGTTGTTGGAAAAAAACCGTCGTTCGGTTGTGTCATGACGCTTGACTTTCTGTATGGAGATATTCAATAAATGGAATTATACAGTAAGACTCTCACCTCCCAGTAAATCTCTAAGGACGCATCCTAAATCGAGAGTAACAAATAAACTGTGGTCACAAGGCTAGTAGAAACACAAGTCTAAGTCAAAGGAGAAAATTAGAGTGCACATACGCAAAGGATCCCAAGATCTCGCACAACAAGTGCATCAACACGGTCCTTCGAGTCGGATTCTGTGAAAGCTATAGGTATTACTGATATCACGGAATTCTATCATTAAGGTACAAGGTAAAACGCATCCAAATCTATAACACGAATATTCAAGTTAAGGTTAAGTAAAAGCCTAGACAAGGTAAGAATCATCCAAGTCATAAGTATATTGTATCATTACCAGTTGCGTGGTTGCCTGTAGAAATTGAAATATAATTTGTCGCGTACGATAAGCTTAAGCAAAGGATTCAAGTCAGCAAAGTTGTGAGTGGCCATAACCTCCAAATAGAATCACGCGTAAGAGTTAAACCTTTGCATTCACAATGGCTACACTGACGCTAACGGAAGCAAAAAGCAAAAGAACTCACATAAAGGCCGCAAGCACACGCCTAAAAACCTTTATAGAAGGATTCCGAATAGAGCAGGGATCGAAACATGAAATTACAGAGCGCAAACGAAAGTTAGCAGAATTATGGACACAGTTTGACGCGATTCAGTCAATAATAGAAACTTTCAAAAACTCGGAACCAGATGCCGCCAAAGAGGTTATTCTAGCACAACAAGTGCAGCAGCGCGAAAGTTTTGAGAGTTCTTATTATGCCCTTATGGCATGATTTGATGCTACACTTGAACGATTTGAGCAACTGGTAATATAGGCAGCCCCGCCCCCCGTAACTAATCGCTCAGCTAATTCCAGAGAAAACCGAGTGCGTCTTCCCAAAATAGATCTACCGGTCTTTTCAGGATCCTACGAAGATTGGTATTCATATTACGATACCTTTGGAAAATTAATTCATGCCAATGATAATTTAACCACTATAGAGAAGTTCCATTATTTACGGTCATCCTTGAAGGATAAAGCAGCTGAAGTAATAAAGTCCATTGAGACCACCACTGATAATTACGAGGAAGCCTGGGCGGCTGTAAAGGAACGCTTCGATAATAAAAGATGGATAGTTCAGAGACACATCAGAAGCATTTTCGAAGCACCAGCTATTACTAAGGAAAATCATACAACCTTACGCGAATTGCTGGATACCATACTCAAGCATAAGGGCGCTAAAGGCGCTAAAAAGGCCGACTGAGTCGTGGGATGACTTGCTTATCCATATAATTGTCTCCAAGCTGGACACAGTTACCAACAAGGCATGGGAGACGACTATCGTAGACGCTAACCTTCCTGATCTAAAAATACTAACCGAATTCTTATCAAGGCGCTATCAGGCTTTAGAAGCGATAAATAGTAGGTCTAGTGCAAGCCAAACTAGTAAGTCTCTTCAAATACAAGGTAATAAGCTTAAGAATCCTTCAGTCGCAAATATTGCTACAAGCAATCTTGCATGCACATTATGCAAAGAAAGTCATCAATTATATCATTGTGAAAAATTTGTTAAATTATCGATGGAAGAAAGAATGAAGATAGTAAAAAAAGCACATCTTTGCCTCAATTGCTTAAAATCATCATCTCATAAAGCTAAATTATGTATGTCGAGTTGTTGTCGCAAGTGCAGTAAAAAGCATAACACTTTGCTTCATGTTTCCAATACCGGTAATTTAGAACAAATTGCCGCCTCTAAAATAGATTCCACAGAATCTAGCAGTTTAATTCCTGTCTCCACTCAGTGTGTTTTGAGTCATCTCTCTTCAAGTATATTGCTTTCAACAGCGGTCATTCACACCCATGCCGTGCCTCGATAGTGGATCGCAAATGAATTTTGTGATTCAGGAATTTGTTAACCGATTGAAACTTGAGGAGAGATCACTTACTGTATCCGTGGCTGGAATCATGGAGGGAATAATTCACGCAAATAAGGTTGTGAGCGTAAACATCAAGTCGCGTTTCAATAATCATCAAGAAAAAATAGAATGCGTAGTATTGCCAAAAATAACTCATTTGCTACAGCAATTTGTGCCCATCCACAATGTAATGATACCAAGAAATATAAAGTTAGCCGATCTCAACTTCAATATACCGGCCAATATTGATATGTTGATTGATGCGGAGATATTTTGGATCATACTTTGTGCAGGTCAAATTAGATATTCTAAAACTCAGCCAATTTTACAAAAAACACATTTTGGATGGGTAATCTCGGGTTGCACTCCGAATGTTACCATTAATTCAATGCCGAGTATAAATTGTCATGCCATTGTATCGGATGATCTGAGTTTGTTACTTGCTAAATAGATTTTGGGAAGTCGAACACGATATTACTGCCCCTCAGCGGTCGGAAGAACAACGAGTGTGTGAAGAGGTATTCCTCAAAACAGTAAAGCGCAATGAAGAAAGACGCTATATAGTAAATTTACCTATCAAGCATGGGGTAACACAAGGGTGTTACACCCCTTAAACATGAGTTAGTGCATATATAAAAAAATACGTATCTCTCTCTTATTATAAATAGATCCTCTTGCAGCGTTGGACCAACCATTAAAGCATCGTTCAGAGAAAAACCAGTACCAGTCTTGGACGATCCATCGAATACTACCCTAAGTTTGGTAGTTGTACTAGCTCCATTTTTTACCGCATGATGAGATAAATAAAATGATAGAGCTCGTGCTCCTTGCTTGTTCGTGATTTACTTCATGCATGTGCCCCAATGCGTGATATTATCTCTTAGATATTCTCTTAGATTTATATATTATTAATAATCTCTTAGATTTTCATGTTTAACAACATATTTCACGGAGAATCAAATCGGGTCGGCACAGTTGTGAAGCTTTCCTCGTTAGTAAGATTCCGTATCTTCAGGATTGCAATTACTGCTGATGTAAGCAAAATATATAGACAAGTTTTGGTTAACCCGGATCAAACCTCGTTGCAGTGTATTGTGTGGAGAAACGAGATCGATCAACCTATAAAGACCTACGAGCTAATGACAGTCACGTATGGTATCTCATCTGCGTCGTTCCTGGCGATCAAAGCATTAAGAAAATTAACAGAGGATCATGCTGTACAATATCCATTAGTCCAAAATCGCACTATGAGACTTCTATGTCGACGATCTTGTTTCGAGTGCTGACACCGTGGAAGAAGCATCTCGGATGAAGAATGAATTGATTCAACTGCTGCATGAGGGAAAGTTTGAATAGAGGAAATGGTCCTCCAACGAGCCGTCCCTACGGGATAACCAACATGATCACCTTAGTCGAGAATTCAGCTTATCAACAGATAAGAGTACAGAAATGAGGGCTTTGGGCCTTACATGAGACTGCTCATCGAACTCGTTTAACTTTTCTAGTATCGGTCATCTCTCTTTATTGGAGAAACCCACTAAAAGAAGCATTTTAGCGCGGATAGCATTGATATTCGACCCGCTTGAATTGCTAGGCCCAGTAACCGTAGTAGCTAAAATAATATTGCAGGAACTCTGGAGACTCAAATCGGATTGGGATTGTGGCGGCAGTAGCGCCAGCAAATAGGCCGCCCGCACACACGGGCGCCGCGAATCAAAAACCAGGCGCAGCAAGTTTTCGCGCAAGCACTACGCGGGCCCCGTTTTCTCGCGAGTGCTTGCGTCGAGCATACCGCGAGTAGCGTAACACAACCCCCAGGGGGCGAAAGCGTAAAGCATGTACTCACGCGAGAAACTTACCCCGACGAAGGATAAAAAGCCTGTCGCGACAATGGCCCGACGCACAGTGTTGCGAAAATAAAAAATGTGGCCATAAATCTTATTTTTGTTACAATATTTTTTATTCAGTACATATTACAAATATACTGTTACTTAAACTTATTTTAATTCATATTTGTATCTTATTTACTTTTTTACTTCTTGTTTTAGTAACTTTATTATGTCCTGCACATGTATTTTGCTATGAGAAAGTTAGCTGTGCGCTATTTAACGAAATATTTACATATTCTTATTACATATCCTATATTACATATTGTTAACTAATATATTTTAAAAATAGTTATTTTGTTACTTAAATAATAATAATAATAATAATGTAGGCGGCAATCATGAGAAAGAACTGTCGCTCAAATGACATATGGTTGTTCTTTGTATGATTGTTCTTAATATATAATCGTTGTAAAATAAAGTAGATATATACTTGAAAATTGACAAAAGCGAGATAGAAAGTTTTAATGCAGTTTAGTGCAGCGACAAAGAATAAATCAGTTTCAAATAAATCAAAAATTAACATTGAATAAAATTAATTTGCAATTGAAATGAATACTTTTCTTTATGCAGATCTGAATAAAAAATATACTTTTTTTAATTTTTTAATTTTTTTTGTTTTCTTTATATTATAATTTTTTTATTTTTTATAATATATTATCTTACTTATCTTCAATTATTACATCTGCAAGTAATTCAAGAACTTCTTGAGGAAAAGAATCAGTTTTTTTATTAACACTTCTTTTATAAGACGAAATGACAGGATCTGAGGAAAGTAGAAGTCTTTTGAATAAATCTTCAATCGTTGCAATTTTAGAGCATTTTTTTGTACGGAACTCCCTCATATCTCTACAATCTTTGTTTCTGGTTTCTTGAGCTTCTTCAGAAAGCATCCCAATCGGTAAAATTGATGCAGATACAATAATAGCACCATGTAGGAGTAACTTATGTACAAAAGCTGGCATGAAGTACCAGTTGTACAAATTGACATACAATTCAGCTGTCTCATAACAATATTTACCGAATTTCTGCTCATCTATTGCAAAACCAGAAGATATAGTTCTCAAAATTACAGAGAATCTGTTGATAAGAGTATCGTCTATTCCAGTGATTTCGCTGGAGGTTTTAAGTAGTAGTTTGGCAAAGAACTGACGAGCCATATTACCATTATTAGTTGTCCCGCTCCCTTACTTTGGAACATCAACGATTAAACTCATTTTATCCTTAAAACCTGCTTGAACATGTTTTTTCTTTCTTTCATTTTACATTTATCATTTTCAATTTTTACTTGCCATTGTTTTATCTCGATTCGATATGAGATATGGAGAAGACATTCAAAGTATCTTATCTAAGAATGAAGAGGGGAAACACCGAATTCCAAAGTTGTCTCGTCTACTGGTCGATTAGAAATAATGTCTAATTTATTCATATCTTTTGGAGTAGCTCCACATATGTAACATGTACAAGTGGACTTTTCTGTGAGAGCGCTCCAGACTTTTCCGTCAGCCATAGTTAAAACGAAACAGCATTTTACTGTTAACTTCACAGGATCAGAGACAACAATTAGTATCTGTTGTAACCTTGTCCTACGGTGAGGTTACGCGAGCACGAGGGGTTCCACAACGAAGTAACTAATAATCGAGTAAATTGATAAGCTGTTTATTCCGGTTATACACGACTAACCCTCACGTAACTCCTGACTCGATCGATCGATCGATCCCCCCCCCCGATTTTTTTCCTGGGACAGTGCCGTAGCGATGCCCTGTCCCCACAGTCCTCCCCGTTAAATCTTCTTGTCGTATCCGAAGCGCTGAGGTGGAACGCCTGCATTGATTCTGGTTGATCGACGGGGTCCTAGTTCCGCGGGTTGAACAACGGTAATTCTGCTTTTATCTTGGACATCCTCGTAAGGAATGTCGGCGTCATAAGAGTCCACCTGAGTTGCTGCTTGCGGATTTTCATGCTCAGGCTGAGGGACGATTACTGGCTCAATGTCGGTATCCGAGATGTCGTTAAGGTCAAATGCGTCGATGATTTCGTTTGGAGTGTGACGCAATTTGAGCTGATTTGCATGCACTTTCTTAATAACTCATTCGTTTTTAAGTTTGATCGTGTAGTTGACGGTGCCTAGTCGGTCGATGATTGTCGCTGGAGTCCAATCCCAATCTTTGTTGGTTTTGTATAGTTGGTAGTAGACACTTTCACCGATTGCGAACTCCTTCCAGCGTGCTCCGTGGGCTCGGTTGAACTGATGGGCCATTGTGTCGCGTTGAGAAGATGGTTGCTCTTGAGGGTGGAGCAAGTCATAGTACGGCCATTAAATAACTCAGACGGAGACTTATTGCCGAGCTTGTAGGACGGTGTGAAGCGGTACGCGGTGAGGAACTCCACATTGGTCACCCAGGCTGTATCCGCATGAAACTCCTCGCTCGTGGCAAAGTTTTCTGACCCGGAATCACCGCCGACATTGAACGCACCATCAAGACGTGCGAAACTTGCGGAACAAGTGCTAAGTCGCCCATCAAGTGCTGTCTACAACCGTGGCCGATCCCAACGAAGCCATGGTCTCGCATTCACGCCGACTACGCAGGCCCGGTCAACGGCGCCTATTATCTGGTCATCGTTGATGCTTTCAGCAATTGTCCAGAAGTCTTCAAGTCCGCCACAACGACAACCGTTAGGATCATCGAAATGCTCAAAGAGACATTCGCTCGGCACGGCCTCTGCGACACGCTTGTCACAGATAATGGGCCCCAGTTCACCGCACAAGAATTCAAAACCTTCTGTGAACAATCAGGCGTGGAGCACATCCTAACAGCGCCCTATCACCCTCAGTCAAATGGCAGAGCTGAGCGTTTTGTCGACATTCTCAAGACTGGACTGGGAAGGGCAATCGGAAATACCGACCAGAAGCTCCGAGAGTTCTGTTTACGGGTAAAGAATCTGTTTACGGAACTGAGGTGGAATGACGACACGATCGCCCTGGAAGAGGTAGTTTTGGCTGACGGTTAATGCTTCACGCTGGTCGAAGAATGCAGCAACTCCGGGATCACGAATCCGGTTGCGCTTCCGTGGCCATGAGGTGTTAATGAATTCAATGGCCTCCTTGAGTGTCGCGCAACGCTGCGTGGCCTCCTGGATGTCAGCAAATTTGATCGGAAGCAATTTTGCGGTATCGATTGCGAAACACTGCTCCTCCTTTTTCCCCTCTTGAATTGCTGCGATGACGGTTTCTTCGTTTTCTCGTGGATGCTTGGCGATGAGGCGAGAAATGACGTCAGCGTATCCAAAGCTTCCGGTATTGACATATTTGATGTCGAAGTCGTAGGCGAGTAAGGTCAAGGCATAATGTTGGAGGCGGCTTGCGGTGTAAGCTGGGATGCCCTGCTTGGAACCAAAGATCGAGAGGAGAGGTTTATGGTCAGTGTGGAGCTCGAATTTGCGACCATAGATGTATTTGTGGAAGCGTTTGACAGCGAACACAAGTGCGGTGGCTTCACGCTAAATCTGGGAGTAATTCTTTTCAGCCGCTGTGAAGGTTGATGAGACGTACATGATTGGATGCAAGGTTCCATCTGGAAATTTATGCAATATGTCTCCGCCCTTGCCATAACATGAAGCGTCGGCTGCGACCACGATTTTTTTGCAGGATCGTAATGAGTGAGGATCAGATTTGATGTAAGAATCTTCTTGAGTCCGTCAAAAACGTCCTGGTGCTTTTGTTGCCATTCAAATTTGGCGCTTTTGGAGGTCGTCAAGAGGGCCGCGAAGATCTTTGATGTTCTTGACAAACTTTCCGTAATATTTGGCCGCCCCGAGGAACGAACGGAGCTGGTAGATGTCACGCGGTGCCGGAATGGTCTGGATGGCTTGAATTTTTTCAGGATCCGGCTTGACGCCTTGAGTGTCAATAATATGGCCGCAGAAGAGAATACTTGATTGGGCGAATTCGCATTTTTCAATTCGAAGCTTGAATCCGTAGCTCTGAATGCGTTCAAGGAGGAAGAGGAGCTTGTCATGCTCATTTTTGTTACTTCCGTCAATGATGATGTCGTCGATAAATGCAAAGGCGCCTTTGAGACCTGCGAGCATTGTGGTCATGAGCTCCTGAAAGATGCCTGGTGCTGTCTTGACTCCGGGCTGCATGCGGTTAACCTGGAAGAGTTCCAAGTGTGTGTTGATTGTGAGCAGCTTTGCGTCGTCATCGAGCTCGAGCTGGAGAAAGGCGTCTGAGAGATCAATTTTGGAGAAGACGCAGTTGTTGGCGAGACTGGTGAAGATCTGATCCGATGTTGGCAGCGGAAACTTGTTCGGCTCGAGAAAATTTTGCCGTTTTTCTTTTTTATTACTACGATGCTGCGAACCCTGAGAACGTGATTGGTTTGTAAACTCCGAGGTGTTGTTGACGCTTAATTTCTTCTTCGATGGCGGCCATTGCTGCGAATGGAACCGGACGTCGTTTGCGGAAGATCCTTTGTGTGCCCGGTTTAAGGGTAAGTGAAACTTTTGTTTTGGTGCATAGACCAAGTCCGTCAGCAAAAAGTTGGGGGAATTTTGATTCAACCTTGCTCGCGATGTCGTCGGTAGATGGGTTACGGCTATGGTATTGCAGACTGAGGCAAGTGGGACGTTCCACAATCCGAGCTGCTCGATCCAGTCGATGCCGAGCAAATTGAGGCACGCTGACATGTAGCAGGTTCCGGTTCCCATTTTGTTGCTAAGGCTCATGGTGCACTGGAAGGATCCCCAGAGGCGAATTGAATGTCCGGATGCGCTTCCAGGTTGGATTATGCAGGGCTTGAGCGTAGGTTTGCCGAGTCTCTCCCAGTTGTCTTTAGAAATGATAGTGATGTCCGATGTTGAATCGACTTGAAGGCGGACATGTGCTCCGTTAATATTTGGTGAGACGAACTTGCGTTGGTTGGCATTGGATTTTTCTGTAATTTGATTGATGTTGTTCTTCTGGCCGGGATCTGAATTGCGTCGCTGTTTGCGACTAAATTTTGAGCGATGAGCGACCGCCTCGAAAGCTGAAACACAAAATCCGGTCTTGTGACCAATTACTGAGCAAGTTGTATATTTCTTGTCACGATACTCGCATTCTCGCTTCCAGTGGGTTTCTCCACAGTAATTGCGGCAGGGCGAAGGTGGCTGTGATGCGCTTTTATTGCTGAAGGAGCTTTGGTCGTTACGGCTGCGACTACCAAAGGATGGCGACTTCTTGCCACCTGGTGATTTGCGACCGTAGCTGTTGCGTTTGTGAACGGCGCTGACCTCTGTGGAGCTGGGTGTTATAATTGTCCCTTCGATAGTCGATTTGTCTTGCTTCAGGTTGATGAGGCGTTCGGCTTCATTGACAAGGTCCTGAGTGTGAGCTTTGGAACTGCCGCGCGGGCCGCATCGTCAGCCGCTTCAAGTTTGACGCTGATGGCGTCGATCTTTGTGAGTAACTTCTCGAGGATCAGTGAATCTCGCGGGCTTTTTAAGCCACTGACGAAAAGTAAGACCTTGAAGTCGTCGGCTGTGCAGTGAGCGACATCAAACTTCTCACCATGTTTGTTGATGCGAGCAGCGAATGTTGTGAAATCCTCGGTGTCTAGTTTTTTTAGGTTAAAGCACTTGTGTCGCATTGCAAATTTAGTTTTGCGATAACCGAACATACGTTTGAGTTTTTCAACGGCGTTGTCGAGTGTGAGTTGTGTTGGCTCTTGAGGCAGAACCGAGTCGGCGAACCGTTGATAGTCGGCTTGCGAAAATTTTTGTAACAGCAATTGAATTTTTGCAGCTGCTGTCTAGTTTCCTACCTCTGTTGTGAAAATTGTTTGATAACGCTTGTACCAGGATTCAAACGTCAGGTTCTTGTCTGGGTCGTAGGTGAATGCGACCATTTGCTCGGCGAGGTTCCTGGCTACGGTTGCAGCAGGCGCGGTTGCGGCAGATTGTTCTCGCTGTGTTAGCTGTATAATGAGTTGCTGTTGGGCCTGCATCTGCTGTTGTTGCTGGATAAGAACCATCTACAACTGCTGGCGGTCAGCCTGTAACTGCTGGCGGTCAGCCTGCATCTCGCTGATGAGCTGTGTGAAATATTTATCCATGGTGGTTTCAGGTTATGTTGCGTGGGTTGTAAAATCCTCGTCGCCACTGTTGTAACCTTGTCCTACGGTGAGGTTACGCGAGCACGTTGGGGGGTTCCACAACAAAGTAACTAATAATCGAGTAAATTGATAAGCTGTTTATTCCGGTTACACACGACTAACCTTCACGTAACTCTTGACTCGACTGACTCGATCGATCGATCGATCCCCCCCGATCTTTTTCCTGGGACAGTGCCGTAGCGATGCCCTGTCCCCACAGTATCAATGTAGAAATGCAAGACTGGATATACACTCTCTCATTTATTATTACGTTTTTGGTTTCTTTTATAAATTGTAAACGTATCGGGCTGCATAATCGTTTGGAGGAAGGTTGATTGTTTCTCCATAATATAAGTAATTGACCATCATCGAATAAAGTTTGTAATTGTAAAGGAACAAGCCACGTCGCAAACAGATTGTTGTCCGAAAACTCAACGTTTTCAGAAAATTTTTGTTGATATTGTGATTGTCCTGAACTTCCGTCGAATCCCCATTTCAAAAACAATTCTGTCCTTTGTAGTAATGAGAGATTTATTGAATCTATTATAAAACGGGTCGACAGACATTAGCAAGTCGCGATACAGTATGATCTAATAAAGATTGTAACCGAACTTCTGCGGATTTCTCTGTTATAATTATGTTCTCTGGATAACAAAGAGCTTTTGCATCTAATAATTTATGATAATTTGGATAAATATTAGCATCTCTGTCTTTAGCACCAATACGTAATGTTTGATACTGATCAACTGACAATCGACAATTAATAATAATTAGAGCAAGAGCTTCGTTTTCTGTATACGGGTGAATAATAGGAACCTTTGAAACAGAATTATTAGATTTATCTTCCAATAATAACTTCGCCATTTTTTTATTTCCTTCCTTTCGCAAACTCATACATGTGGCTGCAATTAATATATTAGACGAGTAAAAATTTGATACATCTGAACACTTTCTTCTTTTAGTGCGATCGCTACTCTCTTCATAGGAGAGTACGACCACGTGGAATATTATTTTGAGTTTCTTTATGTTGTTGTAAAAATAGAAGGGAAGGTGGAAGAGAAATTTTTTGTTCAAGCCAAGTATTAATTTTTAATACAAATTCATCAAAATTCTTACGACATTTACCTTGCTTTTTCTTTAATTTGGACAGGAATAAACTGACATATTTTCGTAAATTTTCTTTCACTTTTGAAGAACATTCTTTTATTTCCATTAATTCCAAAATATACTTCTGCAAATAATTATTATATTTATTTCGCGGAAGTTCTCGAACAGCTTCGACAAGTTGTTTATAAGTAAAGGATGTCATTATTAAAAAAACTATAATAAACCAAATCAAGAAAAGTGAATGTTTATATATTTCGATTCAAAATGCTTATAATCAATGTTGGAAGACTATTTGCTAACTACTTTATTTAATCGCATCAAATTTTGCTGCGCGCTACAGCTCAGCACAGAATACGGGAGCCATGCTATCCCACTCCAAGATATCGGCTTAGCATCGAAAAAAACAATACATTGACGCGCGACGCGCAACGTCTGACGAATAAACGCGGGACGGATCGTGCAGGCTAGATATGCGCACAATGTATTACTTAAGACCTTGCCCAACCTATAAATCACTGGCTATGATGTTTACACATTTAGGCCTCTACCCATACAATAGATATAGGTATTTTTGTTTAATCTACAAGTCAGACAAGAACATATATTGTATACGTAGTATACGTAGTATGCGTAGTATACGTAGTATGCGTAGTATACGTAGCAGCCTAAACGTACGATTGTAAACGTAACCATTAAGACTACGTTCCACTCTACATCCACAATGTTTTTAAAATTATTTCATCCTTGCTATTTATCAAACGATAAATGAAACAAGAACAAATAATGCTCGTGAGCATTGTAAGTGCCTAAAATAAAAGGCATCTTAATAACACACGCACGCACGCACGCACGCACAGTTGTGGCACTCAACCGCTGGATAACATGCAGTGGAGCGGCCGACTGTAAACGTGTTAACAAACTCTGTTTAGAAAATCTCATATCTTTGTAATCGCTGGGTATCGCTCCTTCTACTTTTGTGTGAGAATTAATAGATATTCCATCTTTGTTTTGGCAAAAGAACAAAGTGGTGCGAAGTGGTGCATTTTTTTAATGACATGACAAAGATAGTTTAATATACAAAAAATGTGAATTTCTTGTAAATTTTATTTATGGTAGATTTAAGAAACTTTTCAATTAAACGTTTGTTAAAAATAAAACTAGACAAATAGAATGTTAGATTAAAAAAATTATTTTAATGATAAAACCTTTTTCGAAAGAGTATCAGAAGAATCATTTTAATGATTATAAGCATGTTATTTTTCATTTCACAGTACATGTACATTTATATCAACTTATCTCCATAATACAATATATAATAATTTTATTAAATTGTTATTAAAATTGATTAATTTGAACCTTTTTAAAAGAATATTTACAAAGAGAACCGAAAATTCGGAGTTTAATTTTTTCTCATTTTAGCCACATTTTTTTATTTTCGCAACATTGTGCGACGCTCACGGCGATTCCGAGAGACTATTGTGTTGTAACCAGGGAAAGACGCTCAGGCTATTCTCAGCACAAGAGAGAGTGTATCCCAGCAGGCAAGCTGCAAAGAGTACCGAGGCCCACAGAGGGGCTATCCAGGCTGGTCACCGCTTCACCCACGGGACTACCAAGGGCAGTGACGGGGAACTGGCAGCTGCACAGGCTGGATATATCCCCGAGGCGCCTTCGACTGACGTTGCCGCCAAGAGTCACACTCAACGAGAGAGACAGCCGCCGACATCGGCCTACATCACCGAGCTACTTTTTTGCGCCAGAGTTGTTGTCACCCTTGCTGGACACTCCTCCCAGCCGAGGCACCGTTCTAACAGCCATGCCGCCTACAGCATCAGCAGCAACGCAGACGTCGGAAGGAGAATGGATACCGACGAGGCCGCCGCAGGGATCATACTCGCCGCATACCGCCACCGGGCATACCGCCAGAGTGGAGAAAATACCTGCGGCCCTTGGTCCCGCCTGACTGCATCTTCACGGACTGGAACAACAACGAGCAGAAGTCTTTGCGGTGGACGACCACACTGCCGTGCCTCAGCTACCGAGAGCGACCAGCGCCGTAACTCGCGACAAACGGCCCTTTTCGGGGCCACATAAACTTACCACAAATGGCCCTTTTCAGGGCCCCCTGTATATAGATAAACGTGTAAATATATTGTACATAGATTCGTACATCACTATGTTGTAACTGCAACATCTCCGCTACTTCTGCTTCGTACCGTGCGCACGGAGAACAGTGAGGCCGATAGCGACGGCCGCTGTTTGACGTACTACCACCAAACGACATACAAGAGGCGAAGCTGCCAAAAACGGCGCTAAAAGTGGCGCTAAAGGATGAATCTATTCCATTAAGTTGCCATATGAAGTGGAAGCGTTATGAATTAGAGATGCAAGGCTTGAAAGAGATAAGCATATCAAGACTCGCCACATCAACTATGCAGCATTCACGTTTGGAGTTACACGGCTTTTCGGACGCGAGTGAATCTGCATATGGAGCTTGCATTTACCTGCGAGTAACTTCCATCAATGGAAAGCACTCGGCAAGCCTGCTATGCTCCAAATCTAGAGTAGCACTCCTGAAAAGCATATCGCTACCTCGATATTGACTGATTTTGGCTCGAGACGTAGTTCGACAAATAGTTAGGAATTGCGTAGTATGCTTTCGAAGCAGCCCGAGGCCCGCTTTCACCATCATGGATAATCTATCACCGTCCAGAGTTCAGGTACCCGCCAGAGCGTTTGACAAGTGCGGTGTTGATTACGCAAGTCCGTTATATCATAGGGAAGAAGCCCGAAGAAACGTCAAGTTAATAAAATTTTACATAGCAATCTTCGTGTGTATGGCAATGAAAGCCGTACATATTGAGTTAGCAGTTGACTTATCATCTGAAGCATTCTTCAACACATTCAAACGATTCATAGCTAGAAGGGGCTATCCATCAGAGGTTTCTCTGACAATGGCCTTAACTTCATGGGAGCCGAACGTGAATTCAGAGATTACTCCAAAATCAAGAATCGCAGAAGAAGTTAATCGAACACACGGTTAGTATAAGAATCAAGTGGCAATTCATCCCACCAAGAGCTCCCCATCATGGAGGACTATGGGAAGCGACTGTGAAGGCTGCCAAACGCCATTTGGTCAAAGTAACAAAAGATGTGCATTAAAGTGGAAGGAATTAGAGACGCTCTTGAAATAAATAGAGGCGATTTTAAACTCGCGTCCTATTACTCCGCTGCCCTCGGATCCGCGGGATATCGGGTTTCTTACACCAGGACACTTTTTGATAGGTACACTTCTAACGGTACACACCTGCCCTGAAGAATCTCTAGTAGATATTCCTGTAAACCAGCTGTCGAGATGGCAACATATTGCCAATCCAGCGATTGACACAACAATTTTGGCGCCGTCAGAGTTATGAGTATTTACACCTACTGCAACAAAAAGATAAGCGGCGAACACCTGAGTTTTCATTAAAGGCTGGTCAACTTGTTATTCTAATTGAGAGCAATACTCCATCTTTATCTTGCGCATGGGAAGAGTCGAAGACATACACTCTGGAGAGGATGAAGTGGCTCGCATAGCTACTATCCGTACCGCTTTGGGGAAATACAAACGTCCAATTACTCGACTGTGTCTGCTACCTGCTGAAGGTCCAACCTCAGATCATTCGTAATTTATGCAAGTTCTAACCTAAACATTTAACTTAACAAATTTTACCTGATTAGTATAGTTCCCATTATAATTAATTTTCTTAATTATGTTACTACGTATACTA